CTCTCTCTCTCTCTCTCTCTCTCTCTCTCTCTCTCTCTCCCTCCCTCTGTCTCTGTCTCTGTCTCTCTGTCTCTCTGTCTCTCCCCCTTTCTCCTCCCCCCACGTCTCTCTCTGCCGTAACCCCTGCTCAGGTTCGCCGCCCTGCAGCTCTTGAGCATGTGGTGGCTGGGACACTCGAGCGATCTCTGAGCGCCGCCCCAAGCTCCCGTCTTCGTCCCCCGTCTTTGGCACTATGCTTCCGAGCATGGATGGTGTGTGTGTCCCATGCAGCTCCGAGAATTAAGAAAATCGTGCGCTACAGTACCCCGATGAGTCATGAGTGTCTCCGATCGTATCTCTTCTCTGTGTCACGTTCAGCAATGGTTGCGGCAACGGTGTGCCGCGCGGAATGGTCTGCCCCCCCTGCCTGTTTTGTTTTATGTCTGCTGTGGCGGTTCGTGCTCTGGCCATTGTGGGGATGTGGCCAAGCAGAGGCAATGACCGGCTCTTCGCCTGGGGACATGTGTAGTCTCTAGCGTTTCACGTGTCTTTTTTGTCTTTTGGTCGTCGTCGGCGGCGTGCTGAGACTGGGGTGCTACCCACGCCCTGGACTCCGGTGCTGGGCGATCGTACGGTGATCGTGCGGCTGGTGGTCGCCTTGCCCTCGCCGCTGGTGATGGTCACTCACCGATCCTCCTCCGGTGACCGTGGTCGACTCGTGGTATGCGAGATAAAGGGGATTTTTGACAATCAGAGCAGTTGGGTGACATTCCTGTCTTGTCGTCAGGAGTTGACGTGAGAAGCTAAACAAAATGCACGTCCAGCAGAGATGGATTCTTCACAGTATATCGAAAACCGTTTGCTACTCCCCACCCTCCTTTGGGCCGAAAAGCCGTCAAGTACTTCCACGCATGCACTCGCGCATCGTCGCAGGGCCCCAGATCATGACCGTTCGAAGCGTTTTTGTTTCTTAGACTGGTGTCGCTAAGTTGGTCAGCCGGTTAGCGCGGTTGATGCTCGAAAAAAGACACATGCATTAACACTTCCGTGGTCTGTCGATGCATGCGTAGCTACAATACACGTTCCTTTAACAGGACCTTCCAACCTGTGGTGTATGAAGCATGCTACATTGTCCTCCGCGAGGCCCCCTCCGTCCAGTCCAACACGGCCATCATCTCGATCGCACAGAGCGCCCGAAAGTAAGTCTAGCGTTGAAACACTCAAAATCTGAGAAGTTGAGCCCCATCTGTAACCTACACAAAAACCTATATGGCGAGCATTCGTAGCCTACCTCTGTAGGACCTAGGGTCTTGAGCGCGGACGTTCACTGCTGTATGAATAGTCTCAAGCAGTTTCGCGTTACCTCTTTCTGCAAGCTAGAAGGCTTCACGACCACGGGTGGCGGTGTCCACACCGACTACACACGTGCAGTGTGCAGAAAGGCGTGTCCTCAAGTGAAAGTGGAGCCGCAGAGCGCCGTTTTTGGGGCGACTTGCTCGCCCGACAGCGTTGTGTTGTTTGCAGTGGCAGGATCCGTTGGCGCTATGCTACGGCCGTCCGTTGCCATGGTGCCCCCCCTGGCGGTCATTGCGTCCAGGTAGGTACCAAGCAGCTCGGTACATATAAGCGAAGCCTTTTTAACTTAGCCTTGTGCGAGAGAATGTATTGTGTTTGGAAAACAACAAACGCATACGTAGCCGAATCACCTCACGGTGGTAGCTACACAAGCTGATGGTGTCATCCTGTGCACTCCGCATGTCTTCATAAAAACGCAAAACGAAATCCGAAACAGACTCGAAACTTGCCTACAGCGAGAGCCGAAACGGTAAGCTGAAAACCGACAGTTTTGCCGTTTCTACGAGCACTCCAGCGGGGCGAAGAAGCACAAGAAGCCTCTTGGCAACAAAAAGAAACAATATCTACACGGGTGCAGAACTTCACAAGGAGGTAGGTCCTGCATTCACGGAGCCACACAAAACGAGACAAGCGAGTGCTATTAAAGACAGACCTGAAGGCGTGTGCGGACCCTCCTTCACCAACAAGGCGTTTCATGCCAGTCCAAAAAAACAAAATAACGGCAAAATGTAAATTTAGCCGGAGGGGTGCATGACTCACCACTTTCGCAACCCCTACGCATTTACATAACAGGATAAAAAGGACGCAACACAAAAGCTGCCAGTCTTTGAAAACAACTTCAATGCTTCCCCACCTCTGCCTGGTATGTTCTTCGCGATAGCAACCGGACGTAAAATAAGTCCAACAAAAAGACAAAGCAGGGTATTTCACGTACAGCGCCGCAAATCGGAAAAAAAAAAAGCCCTGCGGTCAAGATGTAAAAAAAAACAAAAAAACGTGGGCACGAAAACCCAAAATGCCTAGATATTGAGTCAGTGCAAAGCAAAAAAAAAAAAACGCGTCATGCACGACCAAGGAGAAAAAAAAAAAAGACAATTCAAAAACGTAAGCTGTCTACAATAGGGCAAAGAGTTCGAGAAAAAAATAAACGCGCCATGCGATAGAGAAGGCCCAAGAAAAAAACAAAGTCGACACGAAGAAAACGCAACGCGTAGTGAGTCTGAAAAAAACGATTACTTCAAAGTACAAGAACAAAGATGAGTCGGCCCATTGTTAAAGCTTGTATCGCTCGGAGCCCTCCTGCACAAACGCCTTGTGCTCCAATCTGTTCCTGATCCCGGGCATCCACGTGTTGCGGATGATCTTGTTGTCGCTAAAGGGGATGAAGCACAGGGGAATGTTGATCAAGCACGCCAAAGGTACCTTGAGGGGCAAAAACCCGGTGCTGTACCTGGTGCACGCGCACGACCAAAAACGAACAAAGCACATGAATCCATCGAAAGGGGGGGTGGGCGGTTGCACTGTTTCAGTTGCGGGCATTTCAAGGAGGCGTTGCTGAAGAGAAGAAAGAGCCAACCTGGATAAGAGTTGCAGAAAAACCGACAATGACGCGCGGAGGCATTGCTGGTTTTGGAATGGCATGATACGTACGCGGCTTGACAGCAGGGGTCCTCCCTCAGCGGGAAAAAGAACAACCGAGCAACAACATGAGAGAAACGAACAAGGTGTAGTGGTGCGCTCCGGGTGGGGCAGGACGATTGAATCCTACACCGACGGACATTAAATAGCAGCGTGTGCTGCTTCGCCCCAAGATGTGAACGACAGGCGGCAAGCCCAACCAGGAAGAACGACACACACGCACACGCACCGAAGCCATGATGGCCTTTAGAAGCGTTTCTGTTTTCGGTCACACACTGAGACTGATTTGCTTTCGTTGGTCAGCAGGTTAGCGCGGTTTGCGCTGAGAAAGAATGCACGCACATCGCAACAGTGTTTTCGGTTTTCGTGCCGCCCAAGCCTGCGGCATTCCGGTTGTCTCCGACTGGGTGCGACTGACGCAAAAAAAAAAAAAGTGCGTACACACATCAACCGAAAAAAGACTGACCTCGTGCCGTTGGTTGCTAAGCCGGTTGACGCGGTCGGTGTCAAATAAAGATACACACACACACACACACCACGTGACACCCTGCTGCCTCGTCACGCAACAAGTGTCCTCTCCGTGAAGCTACTCTGACCCTGACCATATATCACAGCCCGCTCTCACAAGGACGAAACGCCGGCTCGCCTACAGCTTGATCCCATAAAAATCAAACCTTGCCTATCCCTCACCGCAAAGATCCAGACCCGGCAGTCCTACCCGCATCCTCCGCCCTTGTCGGCGCTTCCCTTCCTCCCCCCCTCCGCTCACTATCTATCTCTCTCTCTCTCTCTCTCTCTCTCTCTCGCTCTCTATCCCTCTCTCTCTCTCTCTCTCTCTCTCTCTCTCGCTCTCTCTCTATCCCTCTTTCTCCCACTCTGTCTCTTATCTTCTTTTTTTTTCTCCCATCATTGGACTCTGTCGTCTGCCCCTCTGGCCCCTATCCTCCACTTCTACCAGCTAGACGACCCAACCGGGGTCACATAGGAGGGGGGGGCTGGACCCCCTCCTGCGGTTCCTGCCTGAGGTATTTATCGCGAGAAGGGTACAGCAATCCCTTCCCTCGCGACTTACGAAGTCAATTATGGTTGACTAACAAACGAGCTTTGCAGCGCGTCGCTTTCATCCTAGACCAGGATTTATTTAGTGAGAAAAAATCTCACTCTGCCGGGACTCGAACCCATGGCCTGGCCCTTAGCAGGCTGCGAGGCTACCCACTAGACCACCGGGGCGATCTGTGCCCCCCTTACTGTATTTCTCTCTCACCCGTGCGCCGCAACCTCCGACCCCTCCCCGCCGCCTTCCGGCTTGTACACCTTCAGCTCCACGATATCCAACCACCTCGCCTGTACCGGTGGCAAAAAAAAAACGACAACGATGCCGATCGTCAAATCTTGGAAATGAGGGGCGTGTTGAGCCAGCGCTGCTGTTCTCGGATACAAAGAGCATCGCGACTAAATTACACGCAGTCTTTAACAATGTTTCAGGAGGTTGAATGGTTGGTTGTCGACTTTCCTTGGGCAGGAAAGGGTGAAGGTGGCTTCGCCTCGCGATAAGAAGGCGATCCTTCAAACCGCTGTTGCTCAAGAGATGCTGCACTTGGAAACACTGTCCTTTCTCTTCAAGTAGTGTTCCTGTGACTGCGGAAACCGTTCGCGTCAGTCGAACCGATACATTTACAGATGTTAGAAGGTACTCACCAGATTTCGGAAAAGTTCTGCATGTCAAGAAGACGACGACGACGACAACAACAGCTGCTTCGGTCTCGTTCTAATTTCACTTTTCACTTGTCGACAAACACCAGGTCGACCACGGACAAAAAACACAGACACACATAAACCGAAAACAAAACAAAAAAATCCTTAACTCGCCTTCGACACGCAGATCATCTTCGCGTACCCCACCCCCTCCTCCGCGCAGTAGCGTAGCGACGCGAGCTGGAACACCATCTGCCCGTCCCCTATCCCCTCCGACGACTCCGCAGCTATCGCCACGTTCTCGATCGCTCGTCCCATGTCTCGCACGCACACCTCCGGCTCCGCCGTCGCTACGCTCCACGTCTCCCACCAGTTGTGGGGATGGCGGAGCCCCGGTAGCCACATCGCTGGCTTGAGATATTTCTAGAGCAAGTGCGAGTGGCGGGTAGGTGGGGGGTCCCGGGGACAGGGAAAAGTGACTGCGTTGGTGTTGTGTAGCCCGAATTTCAGCTGGCAGAACGGCAAAAAAGAAAAATGTTCAAAATCGACATGTAGCGCTTTCACCTTCACCCGGAGCATACATATTACAGGAGCACCATTTTTCCAGCACTCCTATCCCTCAATATTTGACGGTACCGAAAACGGCGGACGTGGAACCGTCGCGACGAGAGCTTTCCGACGAAGTATCTTTTGATGTTTGGTATCCTCTTCTCGTCGTGAAGCGATCAAGATGTCAAGTCGGTGTTTCGAGCACGGGAGGAAGAGGTGGTACAGGATGCAGCGGCGACGCTGCACTGAATGAGTGACGGGCGAGGCGAGTGGAGGTTTGGTTGTTCGGCGCCACCCACCTGAATGTGAACCTGGAGCTTAACGTAGCCTTGCAGCCGGATTGGTTTGAAGTCCTTCTGCTTCCTGTGTGTANGGGGGGGGGGGGGGGGGGGGGGGGGGGGGGGGGGGGGGGGGGGGGGGCAGGTGAGCACGACACAGATGCAGTTTGGAATAGCTTGCGGCAAGGGGGGGGGGAGTAACCGTTGTACCGCGTAGTATAGCCCTCCCGCGCCCCGCTGCAACCTTTCGTATGCACAACGCAGTGTCGCTCTACCGCTGATCTCAACAGCAGTTGTATCGAGGCTTCTACAGTAGTATGGTAGATATTACGCCCACGTATCCATACTACAATCTGTTGGTGAAGTTGCTGCTTTCACAATATGAGCAGGTCTCTGCGCAGTACCTTCAAACATCAATGGTCCGAATGAAGCGAGCGGACGGTTTCCGTGGCACAGGCCAACTTACACCCCCCAAGGACGCAACCATGAAAATCAACAAAGAAAATTTGGGAAGGGCCCACAGACGAGACAAGTGCGATAAAAAACAAGGATAACAGGAGTCCCCCGATGAGAAGGTAAGATAATTTGGATGGACAAGGAGAACTTGAGCGGGGTTTAACCCCAACGGGCAGATAGGGCTAACCCCGATGGACTCGTGCAAGTACCCTTACCTCACCATATTGCGTCCCCCAAAACTGAAAATTGAAAAATAACCAGAACAAAACACAAACAAAAAACACACACACACACACACTGTCTTTGATCCGAAGGATAGGTTAGCCTCCCCCATGCTTCCCCCTCACGGGGTCCCTATGGGTTCCTCTGCTCTGTATACCGCGAGAGGCGAAGAGATGGCACACCCCCTTACGTAAACCGATTTTGAAAGCTCGATTGCTCCACGACCAAGATTATCTGTACCGTACCGTATTCCGTACCGTGGTATTCCCTAATAGTCGGAGAGATGGCACACCCCCCTAGACCGATTTTCAAAGCTCGACTGCTCCACCACCGAGCTTATGCCATCACCCAGGTCCCTCTGTAGTGTGGGTATGTGCTTGGAGAATTGATCGGCACTATACCGGACCCCGGCACAGTTCAAAGTACAGAATGGCTCGGTATTTACTTCAGTGTTTGCCCGCAGAAAACACCGGCATCATTTCGGCAAACGGCGCTATTCAACCGGAACTTAATGTACACAGGGAGCCCTATTTGTATACCGTAATAGTCGGAGAGATGGCACCCCCGTGTTGGCGTTTTTTCATGGCGTATTTCTCCACAATCAGGGGGGTACCACTGCCGAAAAGAGTAGTTTTGGAAACATCTCGTCGAGATCTTTCCTGAGAGGTATCGGTTGGTGTTCTCATCCTCATAGATGTGGAGAAATACGTAATAAAAAGATGCTAACACGGGGTGCCATCTCTCCGACTGTGACGGTATTTCTACATTGTAGTGCATGACGAGTAAGTGCCAAAGAACAAAAAGAGAGCTCTTCTCTGCCTGACGCTACATGTGTACGCAAGAGAGTCAGTCTCCAGCAGCAGTATTAGTGCACCGCTTGAAGAAGGAACAATAAAAAAAATCCCATATTACGTGTCTCAGCTATCTAGTTGTGTTAAAACACGTATGCATGCACGGAGACGTGAAGGTGTCAACCAATGTTCCCAGGGTTCATCAGACTATGTGCTGTAATCAAAATGTAGACGGGAGGATGAGAACGGAAGCGCGAAAGCGCTACATCGGAGACACGGAAAAAAAGAGGGGGTTGGACCCAGGAACATAGTCACACGGAGGAGGATCACCCCCGGCTCGGTACGCAAGGGTGCAACCGACATAAGTCTGCAGGGAGCTCTGCGTGCAACAACTAGCACGCCGACGGGATGTCTCATCTCTTGGTTGGAGACAGGCCCTCCTCGTGTAGCAGCTGCGGCACACGTCAAGGTAAGTCACAGCAGCACCCTTTTTTTTGGTTGGCACTTGGGTGCAAGATTGCAAAGGCGAAAAACAGCTTGTTACTAACTATGCTGCACTGTAACCCACCAAGATTCGGTGCCGTCGTTTTTTCCTTCCATGTTTGTGCAGAACGTTGGAGCACACAGTACTGCAGCCAAGGAGCAGCGCGAGAGATGGAGGGCCCTGGATGCCAATGGAAGCCTGTCACGTCCACACTGGCCCACACTGCACATTGCGCCACAGAGGGGGGGCTCCGCACATCAGTGTGAAAATGCGGGGCAACGGAAAAACTGGACGCGAAATCCTGACAGTCCTCCGCCACCTCCCCGCCGGCGTGGTAACAGCGTACAGCGCACACGGCATACCATTACGACATGATGGGCTCGATGGGGAGGTTCGGCACGTTGGGAGCGGGGCTGGCGGCCTTCGTGCTTGTGAATGGCGTAATCGCGTTTTCCCCTTCCTACATTCCTGGGTATTCCGGCCCTGGTAGGTGGCGCGTTGGATGGCGTGTTGCTTGCATGACGTGGGTTTGGCTGATGATGGCGTACGTCGTACATACCAGCTTCGTACAGCAACAGCAGAATCCTTTCTGTCGGTATGCTCCGTGCGCACAGCCGAACATTAGGCATCATCATCGTTGTCTCTGTAGACATCGGCAGGCCTCAGCGAGAGACCAGCTAGATATTGTATGCATAGATGGATTGATTTGCCCATTTTGTTATTCGACCGCTTGTTTGAGAGCGCGAGAGGGTGCTCATGTGGTCATGTTTCACAGAGAGAGGGGCTTACGCTGCGATGCTGTTCCATCTCCGGCGATTGCCCAAGACCTGGAAGCTCGCTACAACAACGGTGTGATGGTTCAGAGGAATTGGTACGATCCAGCACACCAACAATAGTACAAACCGCGTCTACATGTCGCAGTTACAGAACGGCCCCGGTAACGTCAAAGAGACCTATAACGTAAGTAACTATTTAAGTTAGTTGTTTGCCAGACGACTACTGCTGTGCCGGCTACCGTAGACGACACAAGAGGTCGCAACCACATAAGAAACCGCACCTCCCGCAGAATACAACAACCCGTTGATAATTTTGGGCGTTTCTGACAAACCATCGATTTGTCACTGGGGCTACTTGAGATAACACACCCCTTGAGGTTACGCCGCAGGCTCCTCCGTCTATCACCGTTGTGATACAACATCTGCCGCGTGGGCATGTGGGTATCTCACACACACAACATCTGCATGACTCTCTTTTGGTCCTACCCAATAGCAAGGTATGCAGGAGCCTACTTTTTTGTGTGAGGGGGCAGGATGGATGGCGCACGCTGTGGCCACCAAGTCATATGTTCAGGAGTTTCGTCACCTCCGTTGAGCTCCTTTGTTTTACCACGTCCCGCAAAGCCACAAGTCATGAAGTGTTCGTACAGGCATTGCTATAACACCCCCGCACATGGCCAACCACGCGTTCGGGAGCAGCGGTTCAACTCTACAAGAAGTTTTAAAACACCCTTTCAGCACACACCCTCAATTATCACACCCCAAACACACCCTGTGCGTGTTCGAAAGTGCTATCACACCCCCTTACGGGCCTAAGCGAGCTGCACTTTTTCACCCGGGCTACATATGATACCCCACCCCCCACAGGATACCACACCCGGTGATAATATTTTTAATGCCCAAAATGTTATCACCGGGGTGTGTTATCTTGTGTCGTCTACGGTTGTTGTTCGTAAATGACTAGTTACGCACGAGTCTGGAAGGTTAGTCGTCCGCAGGCGATTAGTTACGCACGATCCCGGACGAGTAGTCGTCTGCAGGCGACTAGTTACGCACGATCCCGCACGAATAGTAGTCTGCTGGTGACTTGTTGCGTACGCTTCTGGACAAGTAGTCGTCTGCAGGCGACTAGTTACGCACGAGTCTGGAAGTTAAGTCGTCTGCAGGCCACTAGCTACGCACGATGCCGGCAGAGTAGTCGTCTGCAGGCGACTAGTTGCGTACGATGCTCGAAGAGTAGTTGTCTGGCACAAAACTACCACCTGACGTAGTTGTACAGGGTGTGCATTCACCGCTGATGGATGTGTTTGTCAACGAAACAGTTTCGTATCACGGCGGACCCGTCCGATACAGGCCCGACGGCACGCTCCCCGCTGTCCTCAAGGGGGTGCGGCAGCAGGAGCTCCGAAAAAACACGGCCGTCAGCATCAACCGCAAGGGTCGACTTCGGTGGGGTGGACCATGACCACCGGTCTGAAGGAAGCAAGGTGCGCGTGTTTCACTACAGCAGTCTCGTGTTTAAGAACAGCGCTGCCAACACGGACCAGTTCCGCCTTCGTGTTTTTGTTGTCTCTCTACATGGATGGGGTTGATGTACATGGAGTCACGCCCCAACGCGCTGGGAAGAGTCGACAACAATGCCGCGGTAGGCATGAGCTCGCCCTCCACGCCTGCAGTTTTCCAGTCGGCCTATCACAGAAGAAACGGTTTCAAGCCAAAGACGCAAATTTTCAAGAGATTGGTGCTACTGCAGTGGGGGGGG